CCCCAAAACCCCAAAACCCCAAAACCCCAAAACCCCATTGTATGTGGATCTTGAATATTTTAAGTTTGTACATAAATAAGTTTTCAAATTTCATTCAACTAATTGCGAATTAAAACTCATATAATTTAATAATGTAATCTGCAGAAGAGAAAAAGGATATTAAACCCAAGAAAGAGATTTCAAGGGGTTTCAAAGTCGATCCAACACCTCACATAGATGTTTCTAAGATGGATTAATTTGTTTCGTAGCTATATGAATATGGTTAAGCAGACAAAGGTGAATTTATTATGAATTTAAGAAACTATTTCAAGAAAAATGGAGAATTTCTGATAAACATTAGAGATTCAGCGGGCAACTATCTCATTCATCATCTTTGCTTTATATTTGAAGACTCAGATGCCGATATATTTATCAATCTGGTCAGATGTCTAACAGGTAACATGCCTGAATCCACAACTCCACCTCCTAAAGTAAATTATCCTCTTAATAGTTAAAAATTTAGAAAGTTGAGACGATATCCTACTTGAACTTCTTAAAAGGTGTCCCTTAAGATTATAACTAAGAATAGAATGATTCAGATATGTATACCCCATTCTTCATAAAACTAATTGTACCTAATTACTAATTATCATTACATCATTTTAGGCTACAAAGCAAAATTCATTGCAGCAAACCTGCTTACATTTGCTGGCTTAACAAAAAAAAGTTGCATTACTAATGATTCTATTGAAAGTTTTGCTCGAAGAGAGTGATCATTAGGACCAAAATTCAAATATAAATCAAAAGGATGGAAACGGCCGCACGTTCCTGCATATAATCTTGAATAATAATTTGATTAATGCGTATGAAGATATAGTTAAGAAGTACAGTGAGCACTTAGACTTTGAAATTACCGATTATCATTTTAATCATGTCTATGTAATTTTTATACTTATCACATATTTAGATGATGTACAAAAATTTAAAGAATAAATAACTAAGCCACTTAAAGTAATCCAAGCAATACGATCAATTAATTGAGCAAATTCTAAGAGTAGATCTGAAAGTTTATGGAGACATTAGAAACATCTTGTTTGATAGAGAGATAGGTACAAATATCTTAACTGACTTAGCAAGATACTCATCATAGGAGGATTTCTTTGAACTTCTTAAGAAAATTATGCCTTTAGTAGAAGAATGGAAAATAGAGCTTGAACCATTAATTAACTCAACTGCCTAAGATGGCTCAAATATACTTATGAAAGTCTTCTCTTAGTTCTCTGTCGATAATATTGAGCAGTTTATCGAGGTAGTTGGAATTGAGAATTTTAAAAAGATTAGTAATAAGCTCTCAAAAAAGAATCTGATGCATTATCTATTCCAAAACGTTTATCTGAGTGGCTATGAGCGAACAAGGATCTACCGAAGATTACGCTTGATTGATTCTCGAATGGTTGACTAGAATGATAACTTTGGAAATTATCCAGTCAATTACCTAATTGACAGAGTAAGCAGAGATCAATTAAATTAAGATGATAAAAACTTGCTTATTGAGGTACTTGACAATACAAATCTTAAAGGATTGCAAGATTACAGTAATGAGTATGATAGGAAATTAAAAAAACTTAGAGTAAAATTATTTACTAGACCAAAAGAAGATTAATAAAGTTCGGAAGAAAGATGGCGTGATAAACGTAAAAGAAGAGAGAAATTCAAGTAATATATCAAAGATAAGATTAGTGGCTTAGATGTATTTCCAATACAGCCACTTGAGACAGCAATAAGATCTGGATCATTCGAAGTATTTAAGATTGTTTTTGAGAAAAAACCTGTCAATCCAATAAATTAAACAAGCGATTAAAATACAGTCCTACTCGAAATGTGTTTAAATCAAGAAAATTTTAATTTATTTCAGTACCTAATTGATCATACTCCGCCAAGCTAATTTGATAGAAATCACTGTACATTACATCCACTACTTAGAATCTATGAAAAAATATGCAAAATGAGCTCTGAAATAAAATTTTAATTTTTGGAATGCTATTCATCACTGGTTGGTAAAATTATCATAAAAGATAGAAACTCACTTCAATGGATGTGGGATAACCTTAATTTGCCAATAGAAGAATCAAAAGAAAAGGTAAAACCGAGAAATTATCTAAAGTGGATGACAAAAGATACATTAATCAGCGAAGAAGTTATTCAAAATTTCAGCAGTGTCTATGAATTACTATACTTCTTAGCTCGTACTCACAATTGGACTATTTATAATGCAATTAAGGATTTACCTGAATTTTGGGATGATGATTATGATAACACTGAAGAAAAACTATTTCATTTCTTGCTCTTAAAAGACTAATGCAAAAGACATGATACTTAAGGAGTTGACTGCATAATTTAACTGCATCCAGATTGTTTACATTTCAAAGGTACCAAGAAAGAAGCAGAATTTAGAAATGAGTTGAGTATTGCGATGTTCTTCAAATACAGAGATATCAAAGATCCAAATCTTATATTTCATCTCAAAGAAAAATATTAGATTACTCTCATTCCATTGCTAAAAGATATTAAAAAGAAAGTCAAACTGCCCTATTAAAGAGATCTAAAATTCAAAAATCTCAATAAATCTCAATAAAAGAAATTGCAGAATCAGCTATTTTCAAATGCTTTCTAGTGTTCTATAGAGATAAACTATTCTAAATTAGAGCCTTAAGAGAGAGAATTACTCAGAGAGCAAATATGGAAGCATGAAAACAAGTCAATGTATATTCAGAAATTGCATGAGGCAAAGACTTTGTTCGAGGTATTTGATATTAAGGATGATGCTAATAAAGTAGGGTTTTATAATTATATTTAGCAACTCTGCCGATAATAGTAATTCGACAAAGTTTCAAGTTTCCTAATTCTAATGAAACAACATCTTACTAAGAATTACTCTTTCTATCCGATAAATTATTATGCTGAAGTGAAGTAATTTCAAAACAACTTCCCATATAGAGATTTTAAAATTATCGAGATTATTAGAAAATTCAATCTGAAAGATGATAAATTCCCTCTATATCTTGGACAGATTGAGAAAAATTAAATTCAAGATGATGAAGAAGATGAGCTAAATGCGATATGGGAAAACATGATGTAACCTGGCTCAATGGAATCAAAGAAATACGTTGCTAATGCATTCTGTATAATATTCAAAATGTTTAGCAAATATGGTCCCATAAAAATTACTGTTAACGATAAAAACTATTAATAAGTCATAGATCTTGTAGATTAAGTATTTGAATTTGGGGGTTTTCCATTTATTGAAATAGAGTAACCTCATTCAAAATTAGTAAATCTTATACCAAAAGAAAAGTTAGAAGAGATCAAGAGGTATAATAAAGTGCTTTAAAAATTTAACCTTTCACTCAAGAGATAAAATCTAAAGACTATTGTTCATGAAGTTGCTATTTAACCATATGATTAATATATGGAGAAACTAATTTAATCATTCTTAAAGCCTGATTCTCTTCAAAAATTCAACTTTAACTCGCATGATTAAATTGGTAGAACACCTTTGGCTTTAGCTCTTGAGTTAAAAAATATGAAATTTATAGAGCTTAGTCTGACTAACAATCCCTCTTAAATCATTAATCAATCATTTCAATACTCTTAAATTCTCTAAAAGTTTTACTAAGAAGCTACAATTGAGCAAAAATGTTAGTTACTTGCGCTTTAATCAAAGAAAGTTAAATAAATGGACAAAGGTTAGAAGGATTTTTAGAATTAACTTGATAAGGGATAAATTGAGGACCACATTAATATCTTATACTCAGATTCTTTTATAGAATTAGTTACCGATGAAAAGTTTGACTCAGCAGAGTACTAGTCAGTTAAACTTCTAAAAATTAAGCATTAGATTAGAGAAAAATGCTAAAAGCAAATGATTTAGACATTCAAATTTCAGAGAAAAATACTCCAGGATATTTAGAATCGTGAAGGAAGCGTCTATTCAGTAGAATACTTATTGTATCAACGGTAGATCTCTCCTATGAGTTTCTTAGGAGATTACATGCATGAAATGGGAGCCAAAATATCGTTGATTTAACTGCAGCAACTTGAATCTCTAGGCTACAATTTTTGCAATTCAATATGCTCTAAATTTGAAGAAAATAGCAATTTAATGAAGAATAAAAAATATCCAATAAACCCATTCTTCCCATTCAAATTTAAATTTTACTAGCATTCATATTTATTGAAATATGTGCTGTTATTTTAGCCAAGCAACATGGAATTAATTGTTCATATCTATGAAAAGATTGATAAATAAGCATTTGGACCATTTTTATTTGAAATTATGATATTTGTTGGGAGAATATTGGGAACTAAAAATGAGATATTTATTGAATTGTTTGAAAATGAGTTAGCATATACAATGGAGAGACAACTTACAGGTTGTGAAAGTAGATTGAGCAAATTTAAAGGAGTAAAATGCCCTAACTACGTACTATCACACTATACAAAAAGAGCATACAAGAATATGCTTTGCGAACTCTTAGATATATTAATATTCAATAATGAAGAATAGATGTTTGACCAATTTATCTAAGATCAGGCTAAAATATTTATCAATAAGAAAATGATAAGCTAAGGTTTGAAATCTGCTTGCAGATATATGAGATCAAGCATAGCAATCAAGCTTTGTGCTTTCGGATTGAAAACAGGAGTAGATTTGAAAGATTACTCTGATTACATGCCATCGCTAGAATTAAAAACCACCTTAAGAGATATTTAGCTGACTTAAATCATAACTGAAAGTGTTAGAGAGTTGACAATGAAAAATTTTATGGTAAAGGTAAGATTTATTTAAAAGATTGATTAAATCAAATATAGATCAACAGAGAAATCATGGACAAGTTTTTGACCTATATTATTGATTAGAAAATGCTGTAGCTATTCTTCAAACTGTATAAAAAGAATTACACAGGTAAACGTTCAGTTAATATATTGTTCAAGAAGATTTATCAAAAATCAAGTCCAGAGGTATTTAATAAGTTAATAGCTTCTCTACTCGATCTCTATCCAGAACATCCAAAGATATAGTATAAGCTTATGAAAATTATTAGCGAAAGTCATATTTAAATGCCTAAATCAGTATCAAAAGTTCTACCTTCAAAGAATCATTAATCGAGCAGAAAGAGAGACATCATGAAATATCTATACAATAATATGATTGTAATTTCTCAAAGTCAGCACTACGTTCAACTAATAAATGATTAGTCCAAAAGACATCTTCTTCTAGGATAATTAGATTTATCTAATCAAGATTTTGAGGAGTTTAGAGTGCAAATTAACAAGTTAGCTAATAATTTCGAATAAATTAATAAGACTGAATTTGTTTACGAAGATACGATTATGTTCATGAAGCAAGTCAGCTAATTCTAATCCAAAATAATTGATCCATTTGCATTTGACCAGTAAATTATTTTATCTTCATCTTAATTTAATTTATAGCTTAAAAACAGACATTTTTTTCACCCAAAACTTTGGTAGTAAGGACATCCTAAATTTAAACTTAGATAATAAGGATGAAAAAGATATTTCTTCAAATGTTTATAGTCTCCACAAATGGTTTAAATCAACAATATAAATAGATAAAGAAAATAAGGACAAGATATAAGATTTAGAGAACTAATCAATTAATAAGAAGTAGTTGATTATAAAGAAACCTTAATATTCTGTGCCAAGAGTTTTATTCAATACTGATAATGAATTTGGTAAATTAGTTTTCTATTAATTTTCAAATAATAGTGTGCAATAATTCTTTCGAGGAACTTTTAATGATACAAAAACTGGAATTCATTCTAGATAGATTTAAACCTGAGCAACTCAGCTACCAAAAAATAGAAAAAATAAAATGCATCTAGGTATTTGAGTTTAGATAAAGTTTAATATAGACTTTGTTTGGATAAAGTCTATTATAGACAAATTTAATAATGATTCCTAGAGCTTTTGAAATAAACTTAATAGCTAGAAATAAAAGAATTTAAGCTTACAAAAACAATGAAATGGGCAGAGTCCCTGATGAAGATTAAAACGAAAATGAAGTTAAAGCTTCTTTCCTTGACGATATTTTCAATCAATTTCATAATTAAGTTGATACAATCATTGGAATCTTCAAAGCTACTTCAAACCCTCACAACTAAGTTGTTGCAATTCAGTTAGCTTTAAAACTAGTCACTCCTGAAATCCTTTTGAAATTCACTTAACTAGAAAGAAATGAGCTTAGAGATTTGCTTAACTATGACTAAATGGCACTAGCTAAGTTACTATAGCATGAAAAATTGTACTAAGCCCTAAAAGAATCACTAATTCTTCCAATAATTAGAAATACTGACAGCAAGTTTGACTTTCTGTTTGAGGAAGGAGCTAGCGAGTTAGATAGAAATAGATTTACAGCTATGATCGTCACCGTATTTTATCATGATGACTTAGAGGCTTAGAAAGAGATAATAGATTCAGATAAATGGGTAAAAATTATGGGTAGGGATGCAAAGATAATAATATTCGCTTATTTAGCAAGTAAGACAGATTAGTTCGATTAAGTAAATGATTTATTGGTAAAACTATGCCCTTACATGGAAGGTATTGAATAAGTAAATTACAGTTACTTGTAAGGCGCCTGGTAAATTAACCTGAGAAGGAAACTTTTAATGCCAATATCATCTTCTTACTATATTGTTGAGGGATCAAAAAGTAGCGATCTTATATAATACCTTCTTAAGATGAATCGCTACTAAACAGCTAAGTACTATGCTGAGAATTTGAATGGAGAGACATTTGGCTTTAGTATGTTCTTGCATTAACTTAGAAATGAGGACTTGGAAATATCTCAAGAATATATAGGTCTGTTTGTAGATACAGATAATTGCACATTAAATTCAAACTTAGTGAAATTATCCTAAGTAGTTATTGATTCTAAATCTGAAGCTATCATCAAAAGAATAGATCAACTGTTCGATAATAAATTACTCCATCTTGAAATAACAGAATAAGAAGCAAATTAAGATGAAAAATCATGTATACTTAGCAGAATGATTCTTAGTGGCTATAGTGACAAAGTACAAGTGCTTTTGAGCTTCTGTAATGAAGAATAGAAAGAGAAACTTATTGAATGCTGCAGGCCTTTCGAGCAAGGTGATATGGTTTATGAACAAGATCATATTCATCCCTTCGCAGTAGCTCTATATTAAGGGAGAGTAGATTTGGCAAGATAGCTATTCCTTCCAAGTGAAAAATATGAGAAGATGACTATGGCTGATTTTGATTCAATCCAAGCTTATCTAAATAAGTAAATAGTTCAACTTAAAAATACTCTCAACGATCAGTAGAAATCCCATCATGATAAAGTCTGCATTCTGTTAGATTAAAACCAAGATTCATTAATTAAAGTTGGCACAGATAGTCTTGTTCCAAAAATGAGTTAAATATCTTAACAAGACTTATTTATGAAGTTGATTTTGTTCCCTGAGCTAATTAGTTACATTTTAGCTGGCTTATAAATAAATTATAAAGAACATTGGGAACCAGAGAATACTAGTTGGAGTGAAGCTGATCATGATAGATTTTATCAGGTCCATGTACTATATCCAATTTAGAAATTTGCAGTACTCGCCAAAAGAGGCTTAGGCTTTAATCCACTTGTAGATGCATTCTTTTTGAAAATAGGCTTGATTTAATTATCAGATGTAATGAAAGCTCACTTTAAAGAGAGTTATATACTCTATATGCTCCAGAATGGCAATAATCTTACTGATTATTTTAATAGCATTAAAAAAGATACATATAACAAAGAATTGCTATTTAAGCCCTATGATTATTTCAAATAAAGAGGACTTCTAAAAGGAAATGACAATAATTATACTGATTTTGAAGAATAACTTAGATTGATAGATGCAGATGGTGCTATAATGAGAATTTTCACTTAGTATAATGAAAAATTAATAAGTTAGTAAGAAACAGAACTCAATGAATTTTTCGGATATAGTTTTAGAGAATACTTTAAAAGAGGTTTTAATCACAATTGGTTCTGTCTTAATTACTTCTTACTCCAAGTACATAAAGAAGTATAAATTAACCAGGACTTGAGTGTAATTGAACTCGGAAATCTTTAATGGTATTTAAACTTCACTACTCTTGCTTAGGATTTGATTATAGTTGAGACTCTTTAATAAATTTTCCCAAGCGAGAAAGAACTATTCAAAAGAGACATCAGTGTGAAAGAGAAACGATCTATAAGTTCTGAATTTGAAATTGGGAATAGTGTCAACATGAATGTTTCTGCAAGAACTTTAGCTTTTATCATATACCTTTACAATTCCTACAAGAGAGAGGATCTTTTAAAACCTCAAGATGATATATGCAATTATAGCTATCAATTCGATAAGAATAACATTAAAGCCATTGATATATTTGCCTGGCTACTTTAATCTTAATGTCCTGCAATAAAATAATAAGAAGAGAAGTATTATATAGAGGAATATGATTAAATAATTCACATTAATTAGCTTATCTTGGAGACCCTTGAACTATACGAGAAAACTTTTAATAACAAGGATGGAGAATTTAAATAGTTGAAGCAGAAACTCAACTTCCAATAGCTTATGGTGCAAGACTAATCTATTATTCATGATTCAAAAATGATTGATTTGCTAAAGAGTCTTAACGATTTTGAAAATAAGACTCTTAAAACTGACTTCTCAGTGAAATTGGATGCAGACATTTTTAATTTTATGAAAATCGACACAAATAATTAATACTTCTAGAAGACTATAGCTTACACCAAATTTATTACTCAAGATTTGAGATGGGCCATTGAAATTCTAAAATAGTATGTTGGGTTAAAATAGTCAGCTACATTGGACATTGAAATAAGTTCATCAAAGAAATCAAGCTGCTAAAATATTATAGACTATACAGCCCATGTAGTAATTAACATTGAAGACTTAAATAATGTGAGTAAAATTGAATAACTTGGAGCATAACTCAGGACTATTTTGATAACTTAAACTTTCCATAAGTTTATCAAGCAATCAAAAGAGAAATTAGTTAAGTTATTCAATTGCGAAGATTTCTAGATTGACAGTGAAAATGATCCATTCAAAATTGTCTTCAATTAGGAAGAAGCATTGATTGTACAAGATATCATCAAAGGAGATTTTATAAAATAACTCAAGGGTTCAATCTAATTTGACCTTCATGCCTACCTAGAGGATTTATTACTAGCTTATCCAAATTTGAAACAATAAAATAAACTAAAAGCTAAAACAATAAACTTAAGGTTTAAACCATACGATTAATGGTACCAGGATTATCGATACAAAGCCGATGAGTCTGTAGCTTCAGCTCTTAAATTTGATGAGAATCAAACTATTGACTTAAACTTTTCCTTGGATTTAAAGGCCAAAACTCTCTAGTTTGATGAAGTTTCATTCTAACTCTTGCAATTGGCATATATAGAAACTCTTAAAAGTAGGTTTGTCTCAATTATAAAGTATAAAAAAACAGATACTTAATTTATGAGGGACAGAGGACATTTTATATACAAAACTCCTCAATATGATGTTGACATTCTAAGTCTCTATTAAAGAATTATAGTCAATTCATATAAGGATGAGGGCTTTGAACGTCCAAACATCATAGCAGAAAATATTCTACTTCACAATGCCCAGATATAATTAGCGTTATAAAAACTAATAGGGGATCTATTGACATAATTTGAGAGGAACTTTGATATAACTAAGTCAAGATATAAGAAGTATAATACTAGAACCTAGGTTTACTAGTTAATTAGAAACATTAATCTTGCTTTTGATGTTGATTCAAATATTGTTAATTTCCAATAGTGCTTGGAGATTGTTTCTGATGAAACGGTTAAAAAAGACATTGATATTGTTATCTCTGATTTCTTGATAGACGTAGTATAACTTGAAACAAAAGATTATGTTGGAATATCAAGCAAGTAGAAAGAAGCATTATTGAAAAGTATCGTAGAAGATGAGTCTTTTAACCTGCCTAATGATGTTGGCTCAATTGATGTGAATATCAAGCTTTTGATGACATTCAAAGATTTATGATTCGCATTTTATTATTCAAAAACTTATTCTCAACAAAAAATTATTTAGTCCTTAGGGGTTTTGGGGTTTTGGGGTTTTGGGGTTTTTATGACTGAATTGAACT